GCCCCCCATCTGCCTTGGGAAGATGATGGAGAAGTGGATCATGGATGAGGACAGCCAGGCTTTGATCAACCGCTGCTGAGCAAGTTTGAGTGGTGCTTGAGCATGGCTGAATTGCACAAATGCTGATTTAATGTTCAGGCACAGACATTGTCAGATTGCCCCAGGAAAAAGGGGGCTTGACTCAGGTGTATATACATTTAATAATTTACTACATAATACACCAGTGAAATAATATTTTTAATAAAATGGAATAGAGCCAGAGTAACAAACAATTTAACTGCATGTCACCTGGCATGTTTTGACATGGAATTTGGCATGGTGTAGCAACTTGTTTACCCCCAGATATTACCTTTTGGCCTGAGTGAGCCACTCAGGAATTTCCCTCTCTTCCATCACCTCCTCACCTCCTTCCCTTGGGTTCCTAGATCCAGCTATTAGTAACAGATCCCCTACACTAAGAACTATCAGAATCAGCCACTTTCTTTCTTTCTTTTTCTTTGTAACTCTCCCAACTAAAGCATTAGTCAGGAAGGCAGCTCTTATATCAGTACCTGTAGTATCAACTTACATTATTACTAGTGTAGTTGTCTATTTGCCTTCCAAGCTCCATCTCCTCATTTAGTCCTTCCACACTTACATGATGTTGAAACTATGTTTGTAACCGAGGCGGGATGGTGGTTGCTGCGCAGCTGTGATGAAACAAGACGCGGTGGCAACTCCTGGGGGGTGGTAGACTCTAATGCACTCCCAGAGATTACACTGTAGTCCGTTTTGGTATCGCATGGGGTGAGTGAATCAAGAAGTGCGAGTGGTGTGTTGGCCCCACGCTTGATGGATGAGGAACCAACACGGGAGGCTGTTTGGAAATGTCAGTGATAACTCACACTACACAATCTATGACCAGGGTGGCACATCTCCACCAACACGCATCCTTAAGGATAAATAAACATGTAGACCACCAGACATTTCTCAGATCTGGCCATCTGGGGGTACTAGGTCTCCCTTTGCTTGCTTGAGCTTCCGCTGGAGAAGCTTCCCTATCTGAGAGACGTTCAACAAGATACCTCCCTCCGCTGCCCCCCCCCCCCCCATTTTTGTGCAAAAAAATCATAATTCACATATGAGATCATGGGTAAAGATGATGACAAAAAAGAGTGAAAAAAAAAATGAATACAAGACGTGCAGGGAAGGGTTGAGAAGATGATCGGTTTTGGGGAAGGACAATGAAGGGTGCGGGGGAAAAGAAAAGAGCAAGAGATGGGGGAACAAAAGAGAGTTGTTAATCTAGTTGCAGGAGGGAAAGCTGCGGGAAGTCATGGTCATGATGGGGATTACTATTAGTCGGGGCGGTCGGATTGCGAGAAGCGGCGCGAAGAGCGAGACCTTCGGCCCTCATTCTCAGTTTGCGTTGGTCGGGGCACTCCCAAGGGGAGGGCAGGTGTGGTTCAGAGAAAGCTTGGTGGAGGGCTCGGAAGAGTCTGTCCAACTTGGCCACGTTCTGGCGCATGAGGATGTGGCCCTGACGGAGCAGTTTAGCGAGATAGTCGAGGGGGAGGAGGAGGTGTATGGGAGCCTTAGAGTTCGAGGCACCGGAAGGTTGCAGCTTGATGGCGATGGGCACATCCAAGCCTCCGGTGGCGGCCCGGATAGCTAGCATCACACGGCCGCGATGGCCGACCGTGAGGCCCGAGTTCCTGAACCCAGCGCCGATGACCGCGGCCAACAGGGGTCCCGCGACGGCGACGGATCGGGCGAGTAAGTGGAGCACGGGAGGCTGGTAGACGAAGTGGATCACCTGGTCGGAGCAGCCTCCATCCTGTTCGGAGGGGTCCCAGACCTCAAGCGTGGGCGATCGCGATTGGACTTCCGTGTGACTTGCGCCGAACAGCGTCTCCACCGGGTTCGCTAGCTGACTCGCTTGCAGTGTGGAGTGCGTCACGAACAGCCAACTGCCGCCGCCCTTTCCGTTCACCGACCCCGGCCGCGACGACACGACTCGTGGCTCTTGGTCCGAGGCTTCAGGCGCTGTCGACGACACCCCTGGAACGTAGCTCACCAGACGACCGCTGCATGTGCTCGTCGTGATCCAATCCGGCTGCGCGTTGATCAACTCCAGGAAACGTCCCATCGGTTCGTCGATGCTCCCCTTCGTCGACTTGTCCTTCAGCGACGCCAGGTTCTGTGCTATCTGCGCCCTTTCAACATCGAAGTTTTTGTATCCTGTCTGGCTCTTCTGTGCGTCCATTGCCTGAGAATTGCCTCACCGATCTCCTCACCTTTGTCATATTGACTTCAGTCGGGGGTTCCCCCGTACCATTTGCATATCCATCACCAATTTGACATTTTCCTGCTGAATTTCAAAATGCTGGAACCCAAGACAGAACGACAAGCAAAAACTCATGCTAAGACTGAGACAATCCCGAATATTGAAGAAAATAAAATAATCTTTTGCTGTTCAACTCCTGATGTAGCTTGCCAGACTTTGGACAAGAGGGAAAAAAAAAACGAAAAAAAGCCAGAAGGGAGCATAGTTCAAGTTTCGGGGCAGAAAAACCCACAACAGCATACCGAGAATAGCTTATTTGATTGAGGAGGATTGAGTGGAGTTTGTGGAAGCGGCGGTGGAAGCAGCGAGGGAGCGCGCCCTCTCGAGTTTCCTCATTTTTTTAAGTTGGCGTTTAGATAAGCCGTGGGGATTGAGAATGGGGGGGTTGGTATTGCAAGACGGTTTGGAGGCAGGTGTGGGGTGAGATGTGGGAGAGTGCTCCTTCTTTTTCCGAGGAGGAGGAGAGGAAGAGGTGAGTTTGGCGAGTTTCGAAGGCGGTTGAAGAAGGAGGTCAAAGGATGAAGATGCGGAAGCGGCCGAGGGTGCCGGCCGTTTCCTGCCGATAGTCGAGGCGCGACTATCTTCTTCGCTCTCCTCATCCCGCAGGTGATGGCCCGGCAGAATTTCTGCGACTTTGCCCAGCTCGAGATCCGTCTTGGGTTTCTTGGTCAATTGGCTATGGAGCTTGGATGTGGTCAGTTGCGATGGATGGTGCTTGGGAGGGGCGGATCCGAGTCCCAATCTAAGCTAAGTAGAAGTTTGAAGAACAGAAATGTGGGTTGTGAGTGACACAGGATATCTGCTTGGGCATTAGAATACTGCTTGAGCTTACTTTGAGTTCCTGGGCCTGGTAGAGTCGAGCCCACATAGGGGTTTCTGTTTGGAGGAAAGCTGATTGGCAGACTGTGTGTGTGCAGATCGGAGCTCCTTAGGGAGCCAAGTTTCGACCAAGGCCTGGATGTTTCCGAGTGAGTTTTCGAGTCTTGTCTGGAACTCTTGAAGGTTGACTTGATCGCCATCCTGCGTTATATCGGCGGGATTGGCTGACATGGATGGCGCGTTGGCAATCTCCATCAGCATAGCTGTTCGGTTGTCTCGATGGATTTGTGGACCAAAAATGTTAGAGAAGAGTGGAAATTGGCAGAGAAGGAAAACCACAGCCGATTGAATGGGTGGAGTGCGGCTGCGGAAACGCAAAAAGCTAGCAACCACCCCAGAAGCAGGGGTTACGGAGGGTGGCCACTCCCCGCGGGGCTCGAACCCGCAGTCTTTGGATTACAGCAAAACCATCCTAGCTGTAGAAGTCCAACGCGTTACCATTACGCCAGGGGAGCTTGTGCGGCTTCCAGCATCCGCGTTGAACCCTGATTTTTTACAAATTAGTTTGAGCCTGCCCAACTTGTGACATTCAAGTTTGCAACAACAATTGCACTCCGGGAACAACAGCTCACCATTGCCGCCCCCATTGTCAAGTTGACAAAAATGGTCAGCAAAAACCTGGGTGTGACTTGTCTTCCCTGCAATTAAAATACCAACTCAATGATTTCCACCAACCAAACATTATTATTTCCCCTCAGAATGAATCTTTGGATTTCACCCCCATCCAAGAATGAAAGCTCCCTTTCCTTTTTCATTAATGAACAGAATGCCCTTGCCCATAAGCCTCCTTTTATCTCAACACTTAATTTTTTAATTTGGTTTGCTTATCCATGTCTACATCATCCTGCTTATATCTTGGGTTCATGTTCAACACTTCAATAACTCAAGGCAGAAAATTCTGAATCTTTTCCTGAGTTTCAAGAAGCAAAGAGTGGTGAAAAGGGAGTTTTCTTTAGAGAAGTTTGAGAGTTTACTCATGGTGTGATTCAGTTTTCCGCAGAAGAAACCAAAGAGTACCGGGAACCAATGTAAAAGAACTAAAAGTTTAACAGATTCATGGTTTTTATTTCCACAACGGTGATGTCCTTGCAACCAAGAAGCCAATAAAGTTGTAGGTTTTGCTTCCCATTCAGCCACTAAATTTTGCGCATTTATGTCATGCTGAGAAAGCCAAAATCTCCCAGTTACAACCATCATGAAGACAAGAGAAATCCAATACAATTTCTTCCACATCCAACTCAATCAACATTGGAAATGGCACAAGATGATATTCCAAAATACACTGCACCACCAGCATAATTGGCTGGGATTGGTGTACCCCCGTTGAGCTGGGTTACACACACCCAATTTAAACTGGGCTCCGTTTGACCTGATGCATTATGCATCCGAGTCAAACTCGGTGAGGACACGGGCGAGGCATTAGGCCCCTGATTGAAACTCGCGGCAGGGACACCCAAGGTAATCTCGGGACCCCGCCCAACCAATGGAAATTTCTCATCAGCTGACATAGGGAAAGGAAACCTCGCCCAGTGTCCACCGAGGAATTCAACCTTGGTTGCAGTTTCAACTGAGGGTTAATTCCTTGGTCAGCACCATCCGATGGAAGAGATCCTCGGTTGATTTTCTACCAAGGATACTCTTCATTGGGAACCCCCAACCAATGAAATCGCTTTCATTGGCTGGGAATCCTCTGCGGCAAAAATGTGCTGGGGAGGGATTCTCCACGGCAAAATCTTGCCGGGGAGGATTCCTCCGCGTCAATCTCCTTTGCCGCGGAGGGCAACATTTTTTGCCGCAGAGGAATCCTCCGGGGAAAAAGGTTGCCCGGGAAGCTTCCCGTGTTTCCCTCCGCGGCAAAGGAGATTGACGTGGAGGATTTTCTCCCTGGCATATATTTTCTTCTTGTTTTTTTTTCTACACTAAGAAAACCCAACCTCTCCAGATTCTTGATCAATCTCGCCCACAGTGGTAACACTGGCTTGGTCAAAAGATGATTCTGTTGAAGCCCATGCCAAGCATGACTGGTGGTGTCAAAGGCAATCATCAATTGACCGCGCACCAGGAGGATGACTTGAGCTACATTGAGCGAGTAGCCGCAACCTGCCAGCAGTCCTCCAAAATGCAGCACAGTTGCTCAAATTCATGGTTTGCTTCCCGGGTAATGTTTGTCAATCACATCAGCAATGTAACCTTGATGGATCCTATCATCTTGTTCTTGACGCAGGCATGCAACCCGCCGGTCCAGCCTCTGACTGCTCCATCTTCAACCTAAGCCCCAAAGGGATCATCCATCAGCTCTATCTCCCCAAGGTTGTGATACACCATCAACACCCATCTACCAACACTCATGACCCCCTCCCGCCCACTGTCCCTCCCGCTAGGAGCTTGTCACTTGCCAGAGAAATCCTCATGGACGTCCAGGTGGAACATGGTAATCAAGCTAAGAATGTGCAGTTATGTGGACTAATTTTTTCTGTGTCCTTGGCAGCTCATCCCACTGGTGTTTCTCCTGGATCTTTTTTGTGTAACTTGAACAAGGATATGGCCGAAGCGGGCACCCAACGCAAATGAGGAGCGGGACTGGTCAAAGCTGAGGGAGGAGATTCAGGAGAAGTGGGGAATGCGGTGTCAGCGTTTCAGGGAGGGCAACTTGGAGCAGTTGGCGGCGGAAAAGGCGGGGTAGAAGAATGGCGCGAATTCAATGAGTTTGTTTCCTCTTTTGATCACATTATGAAGTACCTGAATCTGAATGAGGTCATCATTGGAACACCCACTTCCGTCAAGCGGAGTCTCCTCAAGGGGTTGTCCATTCAGGTTCAGGAGCTCAAAATGATGGAATTGATGGAGACTTTGGGATCAGCCCTGCAGGCAGTTCAGCTGTTGGGGGGGTTACGCCGGGTGGAGCCGGTGACACAGGAGGAGGTGACGAGCTTGGCGGAAGCAGCAAAGGAGCTTTGCCTTTTTGTCCAGCGGTCCGTGGCCAAGGACGGGCCTCCAGTGGATCAGAAACATTTCCTTCCGGGGACGTGGGCCAGGGGGGTTCAGCCATCTGTGCCTATTGCGGGGAAAAGGGCCATTATTGCTCTCAGTGTGCAGAAATAACACCGACCTCAATGCTCAGCGGGTGCAGATCTGGCAGGGGGACTTCTATTTCCCGGTATTGCGGGATAAGATTGAGGTTGTTGCGATGTGGTGTGGGCGGCAAATCCGGAAGGGCCAGCTCAGGCCAAACCGGAGGCCACCTAGGCAAGCGGAGTGAGTGGTGGGAGTGGAAGTTCTGGCGGTGCACTCCAATGAACAGGTTATGTTTGGAGTATTGGACTGAATGGACATTGATTTCCCGAAGAAATTGAAGGGTTAGGAGACAGAGGGGCCCAGTGTGCCGGTCCCTGGTAAGAAGAAGGCGGCAAAATTGGCCAAGTGCGCTCTTGGCTGGGAAGCCCAGGTCACGCTCAGTCTCAAGGAGCTGGCAAAAATATTGCCTCCACGACTTGACTAATAAGGACAGCAAGTTTGAATGGACACCAGAATGCCAATCCACGTTTGAAGAACTCAAGGTTTCCTTTACATCCGCACCAATTTGGAAGATCACTGACACTTACCGCCCATTTATTTGAGAGTGCGACTGCTCCGACTTTTCATTGGGCACTGTTCTTTCTCAAGTCTTCCCCAAGGACAAACTTCTCCACCCTGTTGTGTACTTGTCAAGATCAGTCGTCAAAGTGGAACGCGACTACACCATTTTTGACAAGGAACTGCTTGCCATCGTTGCTTCATTCAAGCAGTGGCAACATTTTGTGGAAGGCAACCCACACCGACCGCTGAAACCTGGGAAGCTTCATGACCACAAAGGATCTCACCCGCCGTCAAGCCAGATGGGCTGAAATCCTTGGATGCTTTTACTTTGAAATTGTGTTTTGTCCAGGCCGTGAAGCTGCCTGCCCTGACGCCTTATCCCGCCAACCGGATCTGGCACTGAACAGGGCTGACAAGCTGTCTTTTGGACAACACATTCACCACCATTGCTGAATTTGATGCTTTCTTTATTGATGAATCTGTCAACCTGGACGATGCTGACTATTGGTTTGACACTGATGTACTTGGTTGCGAGGACATTTGTGGTTTAGATTCCATTGCAGCTTTGTCATGCCCAACCAAACCCTCATTGACGTCAAGGGAAGCTAGGAAACTTGACGAGGTGTGTACTTCCAAGACTGCTCTATTGCAGAGCCTAAAAGCAACTTGACGGGGGTCAAATACTGCTTGCTCTATTGCAGAGCCTAATAGTACGCTAGCACCCCCGCAATGTGAGTTAGTTTTGTCTTCTATATTCCCTGTCTCAGCTGGCCAGCCCTCTTCTCTCCGGGAAATCTGGACAAACACCAAAATTGTTGAGGCAATTCGCAAAGCAGGACCACAGTACCAGGACTAGACCTGGTTATGGGACTCATTCGAATCCTCTGTCTCAAGATGTCTGAACCCAAATATGTCAACACTGTTAAGAACGAACTTCTCTTCCACAGACACCGGATTGTGGTGCCAAGGAACTCAGAATTGCGAAAAGAAATCATCTGAAGCCATCAAAACTAAAAGCTGGCCGGTCACCCTGGATGCACCAAGACCCTTAGCCTAGTGCAAAACTCTTTTACCTGGCCGTAAATCAAGCAGCTTGTCAATCGCTACGTGGACAGATGTGATTCTTGTCAAAGGATCAAACCCTGTGTGCAGAAACCACTTGGACTACTCAAACCGCTCCCAATACCCGCCGGACCTTGGACCAACATCGGCTATGATTTGATCACTGACCTGCCCTCACCAGGTGGATTTGATAGTATCTTGACGGTGGTCAACCTCCTGAAAAATATGGCC